TTTTAAACGAAATTCCTCCCCTTTTTTGGGGGAGTTAATAAAATCTTTATTAAAATATATATATATTATTGTTTGTCTGTTTATCGAAATGCTTTGTTGCAACAAGAGATTTATTTTTTGTGTTTGTATGTTTGGTCAAAAAACAATAAAAAGCTATATATTTAAAAAAGAAAGAAAGAAACATCCAGATCTCTCAATAAACAAATCACTGCAAAGAGTTTTTGGGAGTATTTATTTTTTATTTTTATTTATTTATTAGGCTTTTATCCCGCCCTTCCACATGGCCTCAGGGCGGCTTTGTTCAAGAGTCTGATAGATACTACTAAGCAAAATAAAACATCTTAGATTTTATAGCAGCTTCATACTTCCTGGCCCTTTAGTTCATAATCTTATCGTCCTATTTCTTCTTAGAGATCCCACAATTTGCTCTTTAATTTTTAACTGATCTTTTACTGGCGCTGTTCCACTGTTGCAAAACAGAGGAATTCAATAATTCTTGAAAAACTTCCACACTATCAAGAATTTTCTTTTTTAAAAAGTATGAGTTAATTTCCCCTCCCCTTGCTGTAATTAAACTTTTAATTAAACATTTCCTGATTTCATTATCTCTATGCAATTGGAGCTGTTTAAAAATAATGGGATAAGGGACTGCATTGCAGGTCACTTAAAAGAAACAGTGCAACAAAGAAAAGGCATGGGTATCACCAACCATATCACCAACCCAGCCACTCTTCTTGACAGGTGCATCGATAGGTTACACTGGACAGCTTAACACTATGGACAAGTTCAAGACAAAAAATATCTCCACAAATAGGTTTTGAAAATAATGGGCGCTGTGGGAATGTATAAGGTCTATAGTGCACCTACTCGAAGAAGATCAGAACAGCCTATAGGGGACAACTGAAGGACTCCTAGTTAGCATAGCTAGATTAGGGACTGCCGACAGTTTCAAATTATGTCCTTCCTGTCTCCTGATTGGCTCTTTGGACTTCCCGCTCCAACTAAGCCCTCCCCCTTCATTCACGTCTCTCACAGCAGTTAGTTAGTTCAGCCTCTCTGCCTCTACTCTGTTCTATTTATTTATTTATTTGATTGATTGATTGATTGATTGATTTTTATCCCACCCTCCCGGCCTAGGCTGGCTCAGGGCGGCTTACAAACAGAATAAAAGTTCTAATAATACATAAAACACAATTCGTTACTTAATACAATTTCTAATAGATAATAATACAGTAATATAAAACAGTGTTAAAATCAAACATCATATTGAAGTGCTAGCAATTCCACAGTTTTTACTTTAGTTCTATTGGTCTGCTTCAGTTAGGGGTAGGGCTGCCAAGCCGCGGCGGGGGATCCGCATGTCTTCACAGGATCCATGCCACGGGGGACAGCGATACACGTTGCACCGCCGTCGCCAGGATGTAACACTATGCGTCGCTCTGGCAACAGGACTCCAAACAGCCCCGTTGCCAGAGCGACACGTAGCGTCACATCCTGGCTATGGCCGATTGTCAGTTAATAGTGGCAATGATAGTTGTGATGGTCGTGGCGGTGGCTCCAAAGGCCTGGTGGAAGAACTCCGTTTTGCAGGCCCTGCAGAACTGTAGAAAGTCCCGCAGGGCCCTGATCTCCTCTGGGAGCTCATTCCACCAGAGTGGAGCCGCCACCGAAAAGGCCCTGGCCCTAGCTGTTGACAACCTAGCTTCCTTAATACTCGAGAGGACCAGTTGGTTCTGGGTCCTTGAGTGCAGCTCTCTCCGGGGCTGTAACGATTTCATGTTTATTTGTGTGTGTGTCTTTAAAAGTTTGGTTTACATTGCTGTGTGAAAGTCTAATGTGGTTGAAACAGGCAAGTGGCGTGATTGGTGAGTGACAGAGAGGGGGAGGGGTTTTGGAATGGATGCTGTGTGGATGATTTGAATGTCTATCAGGAGTGACTGTTAGAGTTTAGACAGTTAGGCAGACAGTTGATGCAGAGAGTGCTGTGTAAAAGCAGTTGATAGGAGTTCTGTCTCTGGGTTGAAGGAGACTCATCCCTGTGTGGGAAAGATTTGGTTCTGTGTAGTAAAAGAGTTAAGCAGTTTGTTCGTTTAAAGGTCTGAGAGAGAGCAGTATTGTGTGTGTTATGAAAAGTTGAAGCATAAAGAAACAGTAACCATATATGGCCTAAGGAAAATATTGTTACAAAGTGACCTGCCCAGATCCCTGTCAGTGGGAGAGAAAAGTGTGTGAAATATCAATAAATCTACTTTTATTTAAGATACCAGTACTAAAGAAATTCTTCCCAGGAAACACATAGTTCCTCGAAAGCCTAAAATCTTGATCCACCTACCCAGTGATCGGAATATTATAGGAAAAGGTTTGGAAAGCCCTATAAAATTTTCCTGGTGGCAGCCGGATACCCAAAGTAAAATAAAACATAAGAACACTTTTAAAGGAAAACCAGACCTCCCCAGATAAGAAGTCGTCACAAGTGGTGGCAGCGGTGGGATGCGAATTTCCTGAGGAAGAGAACACATTATAGAGAGCATATATTGAGTGGGAAAAAAGTCTGAGGAGACAGACAGCTGAGGTGATTTAGTGCTGTGAGTTCTAAGACATAAACACAGTTCTGTAAAATACAGTAGAAGATAAAAAGAAATACAAAAGACAGGAAAATGACAAAGTTTCTAGTATTAAAGAAAGAGGCTCTGATCCAAAAGTGTAAAGATTTAAGTTTACCTCATGAAGGGGAAAGTGTGGAAGTTAGTAAAGCCATAGGTGAGGAGACATATAACCCCAGTCCAGAATATTTAGAGTTTCTGAGACAAAAGGGGAAAGTTGAAGCTGAACTTAGAAATAAAGAAACAGCACTTAGAAATATAGAATTACAATTACAAGAAGTGAAAGCAGAAAGAGTGCAATTGGAAAGAGCAAGACTTGAACTTGAAGAAAAAAGGAAAGAGAGAAACCCTGAATTTAAACATGAGTTTCCTCAAGTTATGCCAAAATACTTCTTAAAAAATTGTTTGGAGAAAAATGTAGATGCCAGAGGGAACCCTGCTGAAATCTACAACACATTTCCCTCAGATAAACCAGTTGTTAAGGGTGAAAATAAAGAGGCAAGGATTCAAAAATATACAGACTCAAAAGATTTTCCTCAAGATGAACCAGCAGGCTCAGAAAACAAGCCTCTAGGTATAGTGGCAACAAACAAATTTGATACATTTTCAGGGACAGAGAGAGAGCAGGATTCCCATACTCCTGCCAGTGTTAAAGAAAATTCCCAACTTACTGAAACAGGGAAAAGTAAAGACTCTAAAGAGTTCATGAGACTTTCACAGGCAGAGCTTGAACAAAAAGACAAGGGAAAGCCAGAGTTTGCAAATGATGTTTTGGATAATAGCATACAGTGCAGAGAGGAAGAGATGTCAATTAAGCTGTTGGGTGTCTCGATGGCAGTATATTTTGTTAAAGTAAAGGCAGAAGAAAAAGCTAGCTATGAAGAATTCTTAAAATATCAATGGGAGAAGAATTTAGAAGCCAGAGAGAAAACGGTTGAACTCCAGCATCCAGTTGTGGCTGTTATTTCCAGTAACCCTATCATAGAACTGAATGCGGAAGCTGAACCTGGGATTACAGTAAAAGTTGAAAATGAAAAGGAGGAATCTGAAATTTCTTTGCAATCACCTGCAAATGAACAAGCCTCAGCAGACCTCAGTATTGTTAGTGAAGAATTAGAACATGTGTATGCTGAAGAGACTAGTACTGATACCCCTGTAGATACAAAAGTGACAGTTGAAGTCAGTGGAGTTGTAACTGAGAAATCCAAGGTAAACCTATCTGATCCTGCTAAAGAAGATCCTGAAAAGCTGCAGAGTGAATCCATTTTACTGGGAGAAGATGTGAAAGCAAAAGAAAGTAGAGCTCAAAATACAGTGCTGAAGGAAGACATTGCATGGCACAAGGAGAAAAAGGAAATTGAGGCTGTAGTACTTGAAACAATTGTTGACCCCAAGGAAAACTATGACTTTGCAAATGAATGCCAGCTGTGCCAGTTTACTATAGAGACTGTGGAAATGATAGAACAGCTTATTGACCAGAGACCTGGAAAAGCACAGCTTATGAAAAGTTTTCCAGATAGAAGAAATAATAAAACTGAACAACCACCTAGCAGAGAAGACCAAAGTCAAGATGGATGCAGCCCTGCAGTGCAACATAACCGAGAGGACGATGACCTCAGCCCCGCTGATTTTAGACATGACCGCAGCCCAGCCGATGGACAGCCCAGAGATGACATCAGCCTAAAAGAGGACATCACTTAGAGAGGAACAACAGCCCAGCAGAGTGGGACTGTGAGTTAAGTAACCCACAAACTTTGATAACAAACAAGAAGAAGGAACTGAACTGAACTTGCAGTTAAAGACTATCAGAACTAAGAAGACAGAAGAAGCTACACCCATCCCTTTGGACAAAGAGATGTGTTCCGCTTAAAGGAGAAGGGAGGGGAAATGTAACGATTTCATGTTTATTTGTGTGTGTGTCTTTAAAAGTTTGGTTTACATTGCTGTGTGAAAGTCTAGTGTGGTTGAAACAGGCAAGTGGTGTGATTGGTGAGTGACAGAGAGGGGGAGGGGTTTTGGAATGGATGCTGTGTGGATGATTTGAATGTCTATCAGGAGTGACTGTTAGAGTTTAGACAGTTAGGCAGACAGTTGATGCAGAGAGTGCTGTGTAAAAGCAGTTGATAAGAGTTCTGTCTCTGGGTTGAAGGAGACTCATCCCTGTGTGGGAAAGATTTGGTTCTGTGTAGTAAAAGAGTTAAGCAGTTTGTTCGTTTAAAGGTCTGAGAGAGAGCAGTATTGTGTGTGTTATGAAAAGTTGAAGCATAAAGAAACAGTAACCATATATGGCCTAAGGAAAATATTGTTACAAAGTGACCTGCCCAGATCCCTGTCAGTGGGAGAGAAAAGTGTGTGAAATATCAATAAATCTACTTTTATTTAAGATACCAGTACTAAAGAAATTCTTCCCAGGAAACACATAGTTCCTCGAAAGCCTAAAATCTTGATCCACCTACCCAGTGATCGGAATATTATAGGAAAAGGTTTGGAAAGCCCTATAAAATTTTCCTGGTGGCAGCTGGATACCCAAAGTAAAATAAAACATAAGAACACTTTTAAAGGAAAACCAGACCTCCCCAGATAAGAGGTCGTCACAGGGGCATATATGGGGAAAGGTGGTCTCTCAGGTATGTCGATCCCTGGCCATAAAGGGCTTTAAAGGTAAGAACCTTTAAAGGTAAGAACCTTCTATCAGAGTTTATTTCTTCTTTAATAAACTGAATTAGTTTCTTTAAACAGTTGGTGCTCCGTTCCTCTGCATGTTTAAACTCTGCCAACACAGACAACGTGGAAAACATTGGGCTGCTATTGCTTGATACCAGTTGGATTCTTCAGGATAGCTGCATGAACAAATAATGGCAATTCCAGACAAAATAGCTAGTATAGAAGCAACCCAGACCAAAAAACACCTGGGCTTTGTACTATGTGGCAAGCACATGCCTTCAAATAACACTCTGACCAGCTGGTATATTGCGACTGAGCTGGGTATCCAGGATTAAGGCCGCAGTCTCACCTGCACTTTCAATGAACACCTTCCCTGAGGGGTTGCTATAGGGCCCTTGTCCAGCTTTGTTGGCACAGGCAACGCGGAACTTGATGTTGCTCCCCACTGGTAGATCCGTGACGTTGAAGTAGCAGTCAGCAATGCCTGAGCTGACTATTTTCCACTCATGCTCCCCTGGGAAAGGAACAGAAGGGTATCAGTGGATGTGCATTCCTCAGTCTGCTGCTGTGTTCGATACATGTCTTTTGAAGCTCAGTGGTGCTGGCAAGTAAGAAACTGCTCTTTTCAGATACTGTGGATCAAGTCTTGGATATGCCCACTTGTCTAGACAGATGAGGACCACTAGCTCCTGTTCTCAAATGTCTGCTGACTCCATGCATGACTTGGGTACAACACAAGGAGGCTGAGATGGGTTGGGAGGACAGGGACCAATGTGGCCTCTAAGATGTGGAGTCCTGTGAGCAAAAATTCTACTTTGTGAGCTACTGGCATTAAAGTTGTGAGTGAGCGATTTGGCTACTGCATAAATGAGTTTGCTCTGGAGCCCTCCTTCCTGAGCTGAGACAAAAATGTGTGAGCCGGAGGCTAAAAAACTGTGAGCTAGCTCACACTAACTCAGCTTAGAGGGAACACTGACAGGGACCCATCTTTTACTGTCTTTTTAAAAAAAATAATAATTTTTGTTTTATTAGAAATACACAAATACAGATATGCAGATGAAACATTTTGAAATAGCACAATGCACTATTGACTGTTTTGGAATGATCAGGCCACCAGTGAATAGAGTAGCATGTGACACATACTGGCTGTACTGTAGGCTCATCAGAGAGTTACCCAAGGTGCCAATATGGTATCCTATATGGTCCCTGAAGGGATGAGCAGATGCACAGATCTGCCCAGGGCGGGGTACAAGGACTACTCAAAACTTTGATGGGAGGATAAATGAATAACTTCCAAAGAAGTAGGGTTAGGCACAACAGCTCATAAAACCCCAAAATGGAGAAGAGACAGGAACTCAGACTAGGGCATGCAATATCACTACTAGAGCAGGGGTGACCAAACTGCAATTTGGTCTAATTCACATAGTCTAATTTAATGTTAATAAAAAGCAAATTTGCATATTTCTCAACGAAAAGGTGTGTGTCATATTTGTTCATGTCTTGCGGCTCTCAGACATCTGACGTTTATTCTGTGTGGCTGTGAACGTTGGCCACCCCTGGCCTAGAGTGTCTGCAAAGGAAATGGAAATTACTGCCATATCCAACTGATGCATCATACCATCCATCTTGCGTTCCAGCGTATATGTGCATGGTGCCTGACTATCTGCTGGCCTCCATAGAACCAAAACTGTGTTCCTGTACTTCTGGGGAATTTCTGGAGTGCCTGGTCTCCCAGGAAACCCTGTTTGGAGAGGGTATGAAAAAGACAAAATAATCAAGGTAATTGATAGCACACAAGACATGGGACAGACATGCCCAGAGGTGTCTGGAGGAATCATAAGACACATTCCTTGTGCTCTTACGTGCAATGGATATTGTGCAGGAGCTGGTAGCGGTGCCCAGGGCATTTGTTGCATTGCATTCATACAGGCCTGCATCCTTTTTAGAGGCTTTAGAGATGGTAAGCAGCTGACGGCCATCTTTACATGCGACTATATTGAGAACGCCCTCCGATACAATGGGACACTTATCTGTGTGAGACAGAGGAATATTCAGCAAACACAACCTTCCTGGACACACCAATATGATTCAGACAATGCTCTCCACAGGCCTCTTCCATCCTGAACTCTGCTGCTCCCTTTCTGTGTAGTTTTTGCTCAAACGTGTGAGCTTCAAAAGAAGCAGGAGTATCACTGCACTGGTTGAACCCAAGATGTCCCCATCCCAATACAGTTAAATTGGCACTTCTGGATCCCAAAAGCATGCAGCTATTTGGCTGGCAGCCAATGCCAAGCATACAGGACCTGCAGCATAGAGATCCAGGGATAGAGAGGTTCCACCTATTTTTGTCATGGTCCAGTTATTCAAAGGACAGCTTTCAATTCAGTTCTGGAGCTCTAGGCTGTGTGTCACTTCAGTTTTTTCTTAGCTCTGTGGATGGTCTGCCTTCAGCAATATCTCAGTGGTGTTTGGCCACTAGGTAAAGTAAAGGTAAAGGTTCCCTTGCTCGAAAGCCAGTCGAATCCCACTCTAGGGTTGCGGTGCTCATCTCCGTTTCAAAGCCGAAGAGCCAGCGCTGTCCAAAGACGTTTCCGTGGTCATGACTAAACACCGAGGCACACGGAATCCTGTTACCTTCCCACTGAAGTGGTCCCTATTTATCTACTTGCAATTTCTTGCTTTCGAACTGCTAGGTTGGCAGAAGCTAGAACTAGAGACAGGAGCTCGCTCCATCATGCGGCACACTTGGGTCTCGAACTGCTGAACTACCGACCTTCCACAGCCTGCAGTTCAGCATCTTAACCACTTGAGCCACGACAGCTGGCCACTAGGTAGATTTGGACAAAAATTAACCCCAAAGTATTATGGGACTCTTGGGAGCTGAGGCATTATGGGACTCCTGGGAGCCGAGGCTGATTCTTGCAGCCTAACACACAGACACAGATTTTCCTCATGATGCATAACCTACCTTTCATCCACAGTATACAGGGGGCAGGGCTGGCAGCAGGAAGGCAGCAGAGTTGCACTGCCTCTCCTTCCAGCAATACCTGGTCCTTCAGTTTTATGTGGAAAACTGGAGGGAAGTCTGGATAAGAAAATAAAGGTAGAAGTTATGAACTAGAGGAAGCTGTGCGATACTTCAAAACTGGTAGTGAAAGGTTTGATAGACATCTTTTTTTCCTGCTTTCCGGGGTGGGTTGGACGACTGATCCCTTGAACAGTCAGGTGCGTGCTACAGCTATAGACCCAGTGGGGGTACAAAGGTTGGAGGGGACACCTGAGACTCTTGGGGAGCTGGATCAAGCCTTCGCTACTCTCATCAAGTGTTTCCTCAGGATGGTCTACTCTAATTTCCCAGGCAGTTGTAATGTTCTAGAGAAGCTAAATGGGTGAGAGCACTCCTCAGGTCCCCCAACTGAGCCGAACCCCTCTCAGAGTCCCACCCAAGAGGCATACCTGACGCACTGAGCACATAGGGCTGGTTCACAATGACAACGCCATCTCCTCTCAGCA